TTTTTAAATCCTACATAACTTCTTTTGTATTTCCGACACTACTACTATATGCAACACGTGTTGATTTGGCCGATAAAACGAACTTCTGTCATACTCAACAACTATCTTCCGATCTTCTAAATGAGGCTAAACTGACTATTAGTAATATTGACTATCGTTATTAAAATAAATTTAGTAAATTTATGAGCTTTTTTGATAAAATTAATTTTCGGTAAAGAAACTGATTTTTATGTCAGGTGAGGTTCGCAGAATATTAATTTAGAATTGGTATTCACTAAATCGAAGGTTTATTTAGTTCCTTTTTCTAATTTAACTATAGTGGGAAATTGGTACTCTCTTTAATCATTGTAAGATTTGATTGAGGTGCGTACGTATTTATATGACAATTTGCATTATTGTAACAGTCATATTTATAAACATAAGCAAATGATACTATTTATAAATACATTTCACGAGTGCAACTGTAACGATCAATATATTATACAAAGTACAATGTACATAGTTTAGAATCTTATCGTTCGCCAAGATTGAAACAATATTATGTACAATACGTGCATTTCTACACTTTTAACATTAATGTATACAAATCAAATTTAATTATACTAAGAGTGGTATATTTCTCGTCATTGGTATCTCGCTCTATCCATGTTACGTAATTATAATAATCGTGGGTACGTAGTTTTTCGTCATGATGAACTTGCATATGGCCTTTCAGTCATACAAGAATGGTATGGTTGGTGTGGGGCTGCGATTTAAAGCAATTAAGTATAAGCTGAAGTTTGTTCTAATTCCGAAATCTATGCATAATGATCCGGGATTACTAAATTGGGCTTTCTTTATTGTGAATTTGAATTTTTTTTAAGTCCACATGAAAAAATTGAATAATTACATTGCCACCTGTGATATTTATATGTATTACATTGTACAACATTAAGGTAAATATCTAACCCTAACGCTAACCTTACCGTTATTAAAATACTAACAATGACAGTGCAGAACTTTCCAAACACGTGATCAATAATGCGGTGCATTCATTGCATTATCGTTATTAATTAATTATTATATTACGTGAAACACACGTGTTTTTGAATTTCGGTGCTTTCCTAAACTCATTAACGTTAAAGTAAAATGTAGTTCTTCTTAATATATTAATATATTATACGTATGATATAGTTCTGCATTTATATTGACGAAAAAGGGATTATATCCCATGTTGGTACAAATCAA